AAGAGGGTGGTAAATTGAGTATATTAGGGTTGTAGAGCAGCCAAGAACACAGGGAGAGAAAGCCAGAAGAGTCCCTCCACTTTCCTCTGAAATCCCAATATGATGATGTTTATTTCTGAAGCACCTCAGAGAATCTCACACCAAAGTAAGGAAAGGGGAACAAAACAACTGTACTATATAGAGAACAAAAATAATTTAAGAAAATTATAATTTTATTCTCACAAATTTTTATGCTCTTACCTGGTAGTTATGGACTTCAGGAGTATTTTTAGCACTAAGGGAGAAAAAAAATTAGCTTTTATGTAATCAATACATCTATGTCACAATTTCCTATAGTTCAGGGTTCTACTCTTCAGGGAAGAAAGACAAAAAAGAAAAAAAATAAAAATTGAAGCACTTAAAGTCTCACAGGCAGTCCCCAAGAAGAATGTGGTGCTGCACACTGAAAGACCCTAAAGCAAGTCATCCCACACCAGAGAATTTGTTTTGACAAATTGTCATATAGAAATGGTCTTCACAATCCTATTTGCCTGACAACAGCAAACGAGAGGTAAAGAGAACTTGGGCAGTCACTTACCACAGCTGTGCTGCTTTCACAGGATTGTTTGCTAAAAAAGAAAAAACCAACAGAAAACCTTAAGACAGGTGAAAAAACTTAATACAAGTCACTGGTCATTTTGCAGCTATTGTGATTGGGAAGTCACACTACAGCTTAAGTGAATCCTCATACATACACATTTGTCCAAATGCCTCAGAATCACAAGTGCAGCCCTGTGCTTTCTAGCATTCCTGTGTGACTATGTGAAGGATGACACAGACACAAACTTCCTTCTGTTCCTGCAAGAGTCAAAGCCCATCAAAGATGACAGCAGATGAGAGTATTCTTCCCAAATGTCACAACCAAAGGACTTTTGGCAGAGCGAGTTCTGCACAACCAGAGCACTATTTTTCTCATCTTGCTGTCACCATGCCAATACCATTGAGCCCCTCAGAAATCGGAAGCCATCCCTCCCTGCAATTTTGCATCTTACAGAAACCACAGTATTCCTGAAGTTGGTAAAGGCCTGTGTCTTATTGCAGTGAATGATGGTAGCCAAAAAAGCTCACCAGTTGGGAATACAGAAAGGCACTGAGTAATCTTGGGCAACAAGGTCTTGGCTTGTGCTTTGGACTGTTGGAAAGAATGGTGAAGAAGGCTGCTGAAGGATATACCTTTTATTTTTCCTGACAAAGAGCATATTTTTCAATAGCACTGAAAAACTGCTGAGTGATAATGCAAGTTGAAAATTCAAGTCTCCACTGAATGCCCAAAGCGGATGATAAACTTAATGAAACACTGCTAGAAGTCTCAAAGAGACTGAGCTGGACAGAATCCAACATTCGTGAGCTGCAACTAGGTATGGGTCTTAACAGCCAAGAGACACATAAAAGACAATAAACTAAAGCGAGTCTTGGCACCAACTGAACAGATATGATGCTTAGATCTCTGGAGGGAGATCATCTGGGTATGAGAGAAGTTCTGCTTGGCTGATACATACAGAAGAAAAAACTGAGCATAAGCCACACTTTGTCTCTCCTCCCACCATCTCACAAATGTAAACACGAAAGCACTGAGACACAAGGTACAACCTGCAGGTCTAACAGATCCTGCTATGGGAAAAACAAAGTTAAAATAGTGTTCTTCCACTTATGAAATCATCCACACTTACCATATAATCAACTCTCCTGTATCACATAACAGCATCTCACAAATTTAACAAATTTGTCTTTCTGTAAAAAACTGACACATACCAGGGTGGGGGTTTTACAGTGTCTAGAAAGCATGCAGGCTTGCTATCCTTTTCCCCACATTGTACATGAGAAATTAAAGTGGCCACATAATGCCACAAGGACCTTTCGTGGAACTGAGGTTCATATTCTAGGAACGCAAAGGGCGCGTTAAGACTTCCTAAGGGAATGTCAGCTCACCCTGCTCCACACAGCAACTACACCTCCCGGCTCAAGTAATATTAGAGGGGGCTGTCTTGCAGTGCTTCTTCCTAGGTTTTTCTACAAGCAATAAAAGTCTTAAGTTTTGAAGGACAAATGACAAAATCATAGGGAAATCAATTCCCTATCATTCCATTCAAATTCAGCACATTTCCACTGCCAGAAAAAGTAGGTTAAGGTCAGAATCTGGCTAGGGGAATAACATGCCATTATAGTCAGCAAAACAGCAACAACTACATAATGAGACTGCTCAATAACCATAAAACTGTCTGGCTAGATAAGCAAGTCAGTGAGCCTTTTGGACACTGCTCCACCCTACATGACAAAAGCATTTTTTCAAAGAAAATGTTACATTCTTTCCCTCATTGAGTTTGATGCAACTTTTCTTCCCTCCTCAACTGAGCAACAAAATAAATGACAGGTACCTCCTTCTCTACAGATGAGGATGGAAGAATAAAGTGAAGACAGAGATTTAAAATGGTAGATATAAACATGATATATACGACTCTTACCTCAAGGAAAAAAACCCCACAGGTATATTCTGATTTTTAGGTGGTCTGACATGTTTGGTTTTTTATGTACTGTGGTACAGATTTTATGGCTGCAATATGACAATTATGTGAGTTCACAGGACAAACTGCATGACTAGTTCAGTAAACACACATACCAACACTTACCCTTAAAAGTTGAATGCCTTCGAGAAGGATACCTCTTGCTGGGCCTTCTTTCAAACGTGCTAGTTCTGCGTAATCTTGTCCCATGTGTCGCTTGATACTCCGTCCGCCCGCTTCAAATGCAGACACAAACCCAGTTAACTACCGCCTTTTGCTGGATGCTGCGCCTGCTCCTTTGCATGAACACAAATACATTGCTGGCTGTTTCACTAAATACCTGAATCTGAAGCGTGATCCCAGCCGTATGAAGTCGGATCTGCTGGATTTACTAGTTGCTGGGGCTCGCAGCCTGAAGAAAGCGTGGTGCTCCACTGCGCACTTCCACAGGTGTTTGCATGTCTTGGCACTGTCTAACCGGAAAACAAACGTGTGCTCTTGCTCTCTACCCTAAATGCAGAAATAAAAAGCTTTGGAAGTTGGCAAGCATGAGCATGATATTAATTACTGTCCTTGGTAGGAGAAATACAGCCTGAGCCAACAGCGGTGTTGAGCCTCCCTTGTGTTCTTACTAGCCTAAGCACACACCACGCTTTGCTGGATCAGGCCCAAATAAGGAAAGAAATTTACCTGTTCATCATCTTCTACAACCACAAGTGTTAGTTTGCTCTTTTTAAAGTCCATTTTTGTGATTTTTGGCCTAAACACAAAAAGCAAAAAAAGAAAATTAATGGAAAAATAGCATTCTGTAATCTATAAGGATCCTGCAAAATGTATGAGTGCAACCTTGCAATACTTCAGGAATCACAATAAAAGTATGATTTCCTGGAAATATGACTATTTTTCAATAAATACTTCCTATTTGAGAGTGGTATTTCTAACCAGGCCAATCTGCCTTCAGATTTAACCTTGTAGATTCAATCGACATTAGAAAATATAGTCAAGACCCCACTATGTAAAGGAGAAAGACTTCCACATTTTAACAGAAAGGAATACAACACAAAATGACATTACCAAAAGAATAAACCTATTTTGTTGGCTCCTTCAAAGATCAATATGCCTGTTGGTGTCAGTCCAAGAGCATATTCACAACCATCTCTTCCCTGTAAGCGAGCACAGAATCAGTAATCAATGTACAATTAGTCATGTGAATCTTACTACAGTAGTATGTAGTAGTATACAGTAGTATAGGTTTTAAAATAAACAGTAAGGTTTGCACATTTTTTAATATTACAGAGAAGAAGAATATGCATCTGGTTTGGGTGCAGACTAGCAGGTTTTGGCAACAGGGGGCTGTAGGGTTCCCTGGGCAGGAGGAGGCTGTGTGCTGCCCCACAAGGCTCTGATGGCTGTGGAAATGGCCCCATACCAAGACAGCAGCTAGGGAAGCCCACATCTCGGCTCACATCCTTAAGAGCAAGCTGTAGCTCCCAGGGGAAGGGGATACAAAAGGAAAAATCTGAGGGACAAAGGAAATGGCATGTGGAAAGGGACACTGTGGGGGACATGGCTGGAGATGCACTCTTAAGAGGAGCCTCTCCCTTGCAGGTGGAGGTACTTCCGAGGCACCATGGCTCAGGGCAACCCACACCACAGCAGGGACAACCCTGAGGGATTGATCCACAACTGTCCCTGGCAGGGACAACCCTGAGGGGTACCTGACACTAGGGCAGGGAGAGCCTTGAGGGACAGTGGTCTGTGGGCCACCCATGAAGGAGCAGAAGAGTGGTAAGAAGCGCTGGTCAGCAGAGGAAAACAACTGATAAGTGGGAAGCAGCAGAAAAAAACTACTGTGCAGATGATCCCAGCCATGTGGGCTGCCTTGGGAAGGACTGAGTGTAACCCACAGGGAAAACAAGGGAAGCTTATACTAGAACCAGGGGAGAAGAGGCGTTGGACTGAAGCTGAGTTGCAGAAGGAGAGGAAAGATGTTTCTGTGTTTGCTTTATTGTCTTTTTTCTTTTGGTCAGTACCCAAATCAATAATTAAATGTTTATGTTCATTTGCAGTATATTAAATGAAATGAAATTCCCTGAGTTGAGACTGTTTTGCCCAAGACAGCATCTCCATTCAATATTCTGACCCCACATTAATATGAAAAAGTATAACATGGATCTTACCTTAACTACATGCATATCCACACCATACATTTCTAGCCATTTAGCTTTGTTCAAGTAGCACAATTCGGCCTGTGCTGGGCTCTTTCCCCTAGGAACATGAAACACATTTTATATTTTACCATACAATCTTTTTTTTCTGCATTAAATGTTCTAAAATTTGTCTCCTATCCCTTTTCTTTGGGCTCTCAATGACACAAAATGGTATTTCAAGCTTAGCTTATATTTTACTCTCTTCCCTCCAAAAGAAATTATATTGGAGAGACAAAAATTGAAAAAGGTCTAAAAATTGTAAGTATGGATGATAGTTCAGAAGTCAGCATCACTGAAATGTACCACAGGCCTTCACAAAACACATGAAAAACCATTTGCTGCTGCCCTGAACACAAAACTTGTGTGCATGTGTAAAAGGAGGAGAAAAACAGAACTATTTTCAACATAAACAACGATTAGACTGCTTGAACTGTTGTGAAATCATCTAAAGAAAAACAAAAAGAAAAGTAACCCGACCAATCTTCCCTAAATTACAGCTTGCCATTTCTAGGGCAGAGGGGTGGTTCAAAGTCTATCTACAATACTTCTCAACTGACAAACATAATCACTGTTGAAGATGTTCTTATGGACATACTTGACTTTGTAAGAGAAGAAATCTCCTGT